AGAGAGAGGGAGAGAGAAAGAAAGAAAGAAGAAAGAAAAGAGAAAGAAAAGAAAAGAAAAGAAAAGAAAGAAGAAAAGAAAAGAAAAGAAAAGAAAAAAGAAAAGAAAAGAAAGAAAAGAAAGAAGAAAGGGAAAAGAAAAGAAAAGAGAAGAAAAGGAAAGAGAAAAGAGAGAGGGGGGGGGTATTCGCCACGATGAATATCTAATCGTAGCCGGCCAAAGGCATCTCCTGCACTGTACTGGTTTCCACTCTCACGTATGCCTCCTCCTACTTTCGTCGCAATGAGCACTGACCGGGCGCAGGGAACGAGTCCGGAACGAGCGGGCGAGCGGCGCAGCGGGAGGACGCGCCGCAGCAACTCGGGACGTCGTGGACACTTCAGAATCAGATACAAAACACAAACACACACTGTCAATGCCGGAGGATGAACTGATAGCAACTGACGTTGCAAATCTCGCTCGCAAGTCTTGACTGGATACACTCTGACATCGATTTTACGTTCGCCGAGATGGAGAGGATGCTTGGCAGCTCACTGGGTTCACGCAAAGAGAAAATTTATTGTTGCTGACTATAGTTCGCTTGGACGGCTCCCCGGTGCGGTCTTGCGTCGGCCAGGTCCTGCCGGAGGGTTCCGGTGTCCTGGAAGGTACCGAAGGACGCCCCCGGGCCCAGCTGCGCCTCCTGCGGGCCGTAGTTGAGCTTCAGGTGACTCGCGTTCGCGGCGCCCGGGTCGGCGAGCGGACCGCCCTTGGTCCCTTGGGCCCCGGGCCGAGCTCGCCCGCCCTGGCCGCCGGGCCGCCCTTCTGCACGTCCTCGGGGCCGCCGGCGCCTAGGGCGTCGGGCAGGAAAGGCGGCAGCGCGGCGTCGGGCGTGGCGCCGGGCTCTGGCGTGAGGGCGTAGAAGGCGGCCTGCGCGCCGTGGCGGGACTCAATGTGCATCTTAAGATTGCTCTTGCGGTTGGCGCGGTGCGAGCAGTGCGGGCACTGGTACGGCTTCTCCCCCGTGTGGATCTGAAAGTGCCGGTTCAGGAGGTAGTTCCGCTTGGTGCCCTGGAACTGCCGCCCGCACACCGGGCACTGCACGGAGGCCCGCGCCGCCGCGCCGCCGCCGTCGCTGCCGCCCTCGGCGCCGACTCCCTGTGGCCCCTGAGGCCCCTGTGGGCGAGAACACACGCTACAGCCTCTCTCCGCACCTCATGCTCCTCACTCCGCCCCACCCCCACCCGGCGCCCCCCGTGCCCGCCCGTGCCTGCCCCAGCCCACAGACTCACAGCCTAGCGCCTCTATCTGGCCACCCGGCTGCGGTGAAGCCCACAGTTCGCTCTCTAAGTGAAAACTATTCTTGCAAACTCTACTCCAGATTCTTGATTGCAATGGCCTCACTACAAATGACCGATGAATAAATAAAGCAACACGGACACTATAAATATCAATAAAAAATAGAACTGTGTCCTTTACCCCTTCATGATATTGCTTGCTTATTACTGGTGTCAGCGCGCCTTCATTCCAGCTCTGCTGAAGATCAAATGACATCAGTGTTTCTGTTAAGAGCATGAAATAGTCGTTGCGAAAATCATGAGAGGGGGAAAGAGGAGGAGGAGGAAGAGGTGTAGAAGGAAGAGGAGAAGGGGAGGAAAGAGGAGAAGGAGAAAACGGAGAAGAAGACGAAGATGAAAAGCTGAGGAGGAGAAGAGGAGGAGAACGTGAAGGAAGAGGAGGAGGGAAGGAGACAAACGACAAAGAGAAGAGGAGCTACAAAGAATGCCTAGAAACAGGGAAGAGAAGGAGGGGAAAAGAAGAAAAAGAAGCAAGAAGCGAGTGATGCTACTTACGACCAAACACTCATACAATTAGCTCACCCTTTACAATTTACTCCAACTCCCGTTTCCACCCTTTCTGCTAATCGTGAAAGCCCCCCCCCCCCCACCAAAGGGCCCATTACTATATTCTTCCTCCATTTAAAAGATCATTATACTCATATTTTTCTCTTTTTTTTATTATACTCATCTTTCTCTTTCTTTTATTAGGATGATTATTCTTACTATTTTCTTTCAAGGTTTTTATACCCACTTTTTTTTCCTTTTTTTAAGTTATACCTATCCTTTACTTATTCTTATAGGTTATAATACCTATTTTTCTCCCTCTTTTATTAAGACAATAATACCAATCGTTTTCTTCTCTTTTAAAGGTTATCACACACATCTTTTTCTCTCTTATGATTAGACCCATCTTTGTCTTCTATTCTTATCTTATCGGCTTTTTATCTTGAGCTGTAATAAGGCATAAGAAGAGTCTCTGATGTAAACTGAATCTTTTATTTTTATTATTAAATTATCTAATATCCTAAAATCACAGAATACAATTCAGTATCAGCAGACTTTAAACATATGAAAAAAAATCATAGTTTACTCATTGATGCAAAGATGTGGAATACACTGATTGCTCAAAGACATTCCATCTTAAAGCATGACAATATATAATATATATATATACACATTCATCTATATACATTACATACTATATACAGTATACATGTGAAGAGATCACAATAGTAGTGTTAAACGGACTCTCCGCGTGGAAAAAAAAAAAAAACGAAAAGAAAGATAAGAAAAAAGAAAAAAAAACGGGGCAGTTTCAAATTGTATACATGCTTAATGCTATAATGGTTTCTTTCCTTTTTTTATTCGGGTCTATGACAATACTTTCTTCTTCATTACCTAAGGGTGACAATAAATTCGTGTATAACTTTCGAAAACATAATCATTGGACATTTTGTATTTTGTTGTGACACTAAATTTCATAGTCAACGTTACAAAAAATAATACAAATCGCCAAATTTTGTAACAAAACACATACACATTCATTACAACACTCGTAACGAATGAAAATAACAAAAAAGGGATCGTGAAAATAAATCACACTCTTCACTGCAAAAAGGTCTCAACAAGCACAGCACCTTCGCCCGGGCCCTGCGCAGTCACGACCCTTCCAGACAACACAGAACCGCAGATATTTCCCCATTCCGCGGTTCCTTGCAATGCCGAGGAGGCGAAGAGGGTCGCGTCGGGCAGAGCGGTCACTGCGGCGTCTGCATTTGCGCCGTTGGGCCCGCAGGCTGCATGGGGCGGCTGCGGCACACGAGGAGGTGCTGCTGCATATTGTACTTCTGGTTGGTGCGGTGCGGGCAGTAGGGGCACAGGAACGGCTTCTCCCCGGCGTGGATGCTCAAGTGCCGCTTCAGGTTGTACTTCTGGTAGCGTCCGTGGAAGGTCTTGTTGCACAGATGGCACCTTGCAACTCCCTCGCCGGACGCTAAGGAACCGCCCCGTTCTCTGTGGTCCTGTTGCCACGCCGTCTGCGCGTACGGTGCTCCTCCTCCTCCTCCTCCCTCCCCCTGCAAAGTTCAAAGACCTTCAGTTGCCATTGCACTGTTAGGATTGCAACACTGCCTTCTCGTGCAGCTGCCAGTCATTCACGCAGCTCTCCCTCCCTGCAACACGCCATGCTCGGCTTTCGTTCGGCTACTTACAGCATTTTTTTTAATATCGGTACGTTGGCGGGTGACATTTCAGTTACTTTTTCTTTCCAGGGGCCCTTGGAGGGAAGGGAGTCTCTTTTCTAACGATTTCTTTCACCACGAACGCTGAGGGAAATCGTCCATTGAAAAAGAGACGCAGCGCTCTTGCAAGACGAGCATTTACTTTAGCAACACTTTCCCCGCGCCCAGCCGGACGCCCTCGGGTTGCGGACGCTCAGGAGGGCGGCTGCGACTGCATGTTGTGGAGGCGCTCCATGTGGCGGTCGAGGTTGTGGCGGCGGTTGAACTGCTGGCCGCAGTGGTGGCAGCTGAAGGGCCGCACGCCGCGGTGGATGTCCATGTGCCGCTTCAGGTTGTACTTGTGGTACTTGCCACTGAAATGGACGCCGCATATGGGGCAGTTAACCCCCTCGGGCCCCTCGGCAGCCTGAGTCAGCTGGTGCAGGACCGACGGGGGGTACAGGGCGCTCTGCAACACAAGGCCTCGGCTCAGGGTCAGTCCGCCACCAGTAACACCTCTCACACCTTTTAGCTTTAAACATCTATAATCTTTTGATCTTTACACATGAAATCTCTTTCTCTTTACACAAACAAGTTTCTTTTTTAATATCTAATCCCTCTTATTATCTTTACATACTCAACTCTCTTTTTATCTTTATAAATATTTCTCTATCTTTAATTTTACATACCTCTTTTTTTGTCTCTCTTATAGGCCTATCTACATTTTCCTTTCCTCTCCCTCTCTCTCTCTCTCTCTCTCTTGCATATACAAAAAAGGCATTGATAGTTACGCCTAAAAAAATCTATACCAATATATGAACTGACAATGCACACATTTATCACATAATTGACTTTGGCAAAATTATACGGCTGGAAGGATCTGCGTTGCTATTTATACACTTGTTACTGGTTGAAGATGAGGCTCAGAGAGAGTGAATTAGGACGAGAAAGAGAGCAGAGAGAGAGAGAGGGAGGATGATAAAGGAAGGAGAGGAAGGGAAAGAGGGTGAGGGTGAGGTTGAGGAAGAGTAAAAGAAAGTAAGGGTGGGGTATGGGAGGGAAAGAAATAGGATAACTGAGTGGGATGGGATAGGGTTGGGTAGGGGGGGAAAAAAAGAGAGAAAGGAAAGAGAATAGAGAGGGGGTAGGGGCAGAGAGAAGGAAGGGGAAAGAGAAAGTAAAAGAAAAAAAAGAAAAGAGGAGGAAGATATATGAGAGAGAGAAGAGAGAGGAGAGGAGAGAGAGAGAGAGAGAGAGAGAGAGAGAGAGAGAGAGAGAGAGAGAAGAGAGAAGAGAGAGAGGAGAGGGAGAGAGAGAGAGAGAGAGAGAAGAGAGAGAGAGAGAGGAGAGAGAGAGAGAGAGAGAGGAGAGAGAGAGAAGAGAGAGAATTTCTAAAGGCAATTAGACAAGCCTCCCCTATTACATACCAATACTTTATTAAGCATTTTGGCCAAGCAGGAGAAGCAGGAGACAGCAAAAGAGGAAAGGCAAGGCAATTAAACAAGCCCCTCCATGAAATTACCTATTAACATAACCAATAATATTAAGCATTTGTCCAAGAGAAGCAAGAGAAAATGAGAGGAAGCCGCAAAGAGAGAGAGAGAGAGAGAGAGAGAGAGAAGAGAGAGATGAGAGAGAGAGAGAGAGAGAGAGAGAGAGTGAGAGTGAGAGTGAGAGAGTGAGAGTGAGAGTTGAGAGTGTGTGTGTGTGTGTGTGGTGTGTGTGTGTGTGTGTGTGTGTGTGTGTGTGTGTGTGTGTGTGTGTGTGTGTGTGTGTCGAGAGAGCAAAAGATATAAGAAATGAGAAGATAGATAAAGGTAGGAAAAGTAAGAAGAGGGAGGATGGGAGAGGAGATCACAGCGAATATGCAAGCGAGGCAGGCAGGAAAAAGGAAATGAAGACAAAGACAAAGAGAAGAAGAGAGGAAGGATGTAGGAGAAGGATAGGGAGAGAGATAAGAGAAGAGAGAGAGGGAAAGAGAGAGAAAGAGAGAGAGAGAGAGAGAGAGAGGAGAGAGGGAGAGGAGAGAGGGAGAGAGGAGAGGGAGAGGGAGAGGAGAGAGGGAGAGGGAGAGGGAGAGGAGAGGGAGAGGGAGAGGGAGAGGAAGAGGGGAGAGGAGAGAGACGAGAGAGAGAGAGAGAGAGGAGAGAGAGAGAGAGAGAGAGAGAGAGAGAGAGAGAGAGAGAGAGAGAGAGAGAAGAGGAGAGATGAGAGAGAGAGAGAGAGGTAGATGGAGGCGGGAGGGGAAAGAGGGAGAGAGGGAGAGAGGGAGGAGGAGGGAGGGAGGGAGGGAGGGAGGGAGGGAGACAGAGAGAGCAAGAGAGAGCGAGAGGGAAAGAGGAAGTAGAGAGAGAGAGAGGAGAGGAGAGTGAGAGAGTGTGTGTTTGTGTAAAGAACACAACGAAAGCACAATTCTGAATGAACGAAAAGGAAAGAGAAAATGACAATATATATATATACAATAAAATATTCGAAGAGAGAAAATAGTTAACTGAAAGGAAGGGAAAAACATATGGTAAGATAATTTAAGAAAGATGAAGCAAATAGTATTTATGACACATGGAAGTGAAAAAAGAGAGAAAATAACAGACAGAAATACAAAGAATTATCATCAGCGGAAAAGAGTAACATATGCAATTAAAAATGCAAAAACGGGAAATAGACATGGAAAATGGAGATAAGAGGGAAGAGGAAACATATGAAAGCAGCAGCGACGTAGATAAAGAAGAGGCGAAGAAGAGAAGGGAGAGACAAGAAAAGGAGAGAGGTGAAGAAGAACAGGGAGAGACAAGAAAAGGAGACAAGAGAAAGCCTTATAAAACATACAAACACACGTTTTACATACTCTTGCCCAAACGCTTCGCGCTCCCTAGCCCACCGCGGCCATATCACTGCGGCAACGTGGTGCCGTGCCTCGCCAGCAGGTGGCCCTTGAGGTGGCTCTTTCTGTTGAAGGCTTGCGTGCACAGCGGGCATTGGAAGGGCCGCAGCCCAGCGTGGATGCTGAGGTGCTGCTTAAGGTTGAAAGTCCGCTGCGACTTCCTTCCGCGGAACTCCCGCCCACACACACCGCAGACGGAACTGCCCTCGCCCCCCTCCGCCTCATCCCGCCACGGGACGGCCAAGACTGCACCCTCCCCGAGGTAACTGCACCCCTGCCGGCAGGAAAAATCTCAGTCATCCGCTTCTGGACACCAGGGCTTCTGCATCAAGTGTCCAGCCATAATAAAACCATCATCTTACATGTTTTGTTTTTGTTTTTGATTTTTTTCTATCTCTGCCTCAGGATCACACAAAGGCTGTCCTCACTGAACACTATTCCATTAAGAATTTATGTAATGTGGCAAGGTGTCGTTTTAGGTGGCTCTTTCTGACAAAAGTGAGAGGGCACACGTGGCATCGAAAGGGCCTGAGGCCAGAGTGGATGGCCAGGTGCTGCTTCAGGTTGTTTTTGCGGTTGTTTCCGAGAAAGTTCTGGCCGCACACGTGACACACGGCGTCATTCAATGTGCTGGGGAGCAAGACGTCACCCTGTAAAATAATGACCATTTGCTAAGCTAGTGGTGTTGGTACACAAAATATAAAGTAAGAATTAAGAATAGTTTTATATCAGAATAATCATTTTTGCTTGTCTCTTAGTTTTTGTTTTTGTTTTTTGTTTTTTTAATCATTATGTTGTTACGCATTTTTTAAACTTTCTACTAAGCATTTGCGATAATCTGCAAGACTAAAAAGCCACGTCGGCCGATGCCCCACCGCGCTGGCGTTCCTCCCCAACCAGACTCGGCCACACGGGCCCTAAACTAACGAGTATTTGCCTTTTGACGCCAAGAAATAAACGCAAACAAGGTAACGGCGCTGCTCCTCACTGGCCCAGGACGCCCGCTCGCCTTCCCGGGGCTCCCTCCGCACCTCTCGACTCCCGGCGCCCACTTCCCACGAGGCTCCGGGCTACTGGCTGACGGGCGCGATGGGGTCCACGGAGCGGTGCACGGACGCGAAGTGGCGCTTCATGGACACCTTCTGGTTGAAGGCCAGGTTGCACACGGGGCACGGGAACGGCCGCAGCCCCGCGTGGATCGTCAGGTGCTTCTTCAGGTTGTACTTGTGGTAGTCGCCGCGGAAAATCTTGCCGCACTCGGGGCAGGTGGAGCAGCGCAGGGTGGCCATGGGGGCGGCCTGGCCGGCGCTGCTGATGCTCACGCTGGGGGCGCTCACGGCACAGCCCACGAGCTTGGTCATGGCCCCCGCGCGGCGCGGGGCGGAGGCCAGCGTGCGCTTAGGCAGGGCGGAGGGGATAAACGGCGAGGAGGAGGAGGAGGCCGCCGCCGCCGAGGAGAAAGCAGCTGACTGCTCGGGGATGGTGAGGAGGGCCCTTGCGATGGCGACCTCTGAGGTGGAGAGGTGAGAGTGCCCTTGGGGTCGAGCCTGGGGGTCTCTGGAGGCCACCTGGAAAATAACACCCAGGTCAGGAGCGACTCTCAGACACCGGACGCTAGCCTGGGGTCGCGGCCACGGCCTCTCGGCGGCGGGCCAAGGCGCCCGGGCAGCCACACAACTCACACCCGCTGCCACATCTGTGCCCTCGAGCCTCTCGGCGGAGGAGGGCATCCGGGCCAAAACATAATGCCCAACAGTCATTCTCATAAAAAAATAAACTCTATTGTGCAACTGAAAATAAAATAACACTTGTTCCACAAAGGGGGAAATAAAAAGGCATTAAGGAAACAAACATGGCATTCTTGTTCACTTGGCTTCCCCCCCCCCCCAAGCGGGCTGGAGGGCCTCGAAATACAATCCCCTATGCGTGCGGCTCGAATCCACTCCCATAGGCCTACTCAATTCAGACATCACGGCCAACCTCGGGGTGGCGACTATACGCTTCCTATCTCGAGATTTATATATGGATATTCATGAACGCACCTACATACGCATACTTACACGCACACGCAGACGCACACACATACGAACACACATACATATATACACACACACACACACACACACACACACAACACACACACACACACACACGCACACACACGCACACGCACACGCACACGCACACGCACACGCACACATCCGCGCGCGAGCGCGCCGGGCGCTAGCAACTGATACGTGCATACAGTACGTATGTATTATAAACATAAAAAGTGTGCACGCGCATAGGTATATCTATACAAATTATCTAGTACTAAAGAACAAAAAAGAAAAGTAATTCCACAGTTCCACACCTCAAGGCGTCCCAAGAGAAGCGTCGAGTGACCTTCAAAACAAAGGGGAAAGTCGACGATCTGCTCCTCGGCCGCCCATTCCCCTACACCACTGGCAGATCGATGCCACCAAGGAAGAGCAGCGCCCACGCCCACCTACACTTCCATTCCCCCGCCCCTTGGGGGAGGTCTGCCCTTCACTAGGCTTCCGCGTTCAGAGGAATGTAAGAAGTCGAAAGAAAATAAAAGAAAGAGAAAAAAAAATCAGAATCTCGTCTCCTCCGTCAGGTCAGCGCCCCTCCTCCTCGGCGTCCCCCTGAGGTCAGCTCCCCCTTCAGTTCACTTCCCACTCGCCCCCCTGGGCCGCCGCCTGCTTCTCGTCGAGTCGGCCTCCGGGGGGGTTGGCCCGACCGTCTGCGCGCTCCGCCACCCCGGGCACGTGGGCATTGGCGTCGTGGAGGCCCGCCGCCCCCGCCGCCGCCTGGCCGCCGCCCGCTTGCTCGCCGTGGACTGACTCGAGATGCCGCTTCATGTTGCACTTCTGGTTGAAGGCGGCGGGGCAGCGCGGGCACGGGTACGGCCGCTCCCCCGTGTGAATGCTCATGTGCCGCTTCAGGTTGTACTTCTGGTACACGCCGTGGAAGCGCTGGCCGCAGGTGGGGCAGCTGGTGAAGGTACCGAGTCCTGCCCGACAAGCCTGGCTTCCCTGCAACACAAGGCGAGGCTCAGACCTGCCGTTGTCGTCACCAACTGGTGCTTCAACATCTAAGGGCAACTTAAGTGCAACTAGGAAGCATTACAAGAGGGCATTAGTCTAATCTACTCCTACTCCCGTTCCAGGATTCGAGGGAGTCTCTCGTCCTGAACCAACACACACAACTACTACAGAGAGATGTACAGGATGGCAACAATAAAAGGAGCCGAAGAGATATTCCAGTATATTTATTTCTGAGGTTCATTCATGTTACACAAAAAGCTTCGGCGAACTTTACAGGGCAAGATGCATGTGGAATACATGAACGATTTTTTTTTTATCATTTCTGTCACTGGTTCCTGAAATTGACACTTGATTTTCCTACTCGTCGTGACACCTCTAGTCTAGTATACATCTTAAAACAAAAGACTCAGTACCAGGGTTGGAAAAAAGACGGGGTTTCCGGGATTCTTTTTACATGTTTACTTATTCAACATTATAATCTTTCTTTTTCTCTGGTTATATTTCAGATTTTCCATCACATTAGACTATAATTTTTCTTCAATTTCATCTTTAGCTCCGTTACCCATAATCCGTGGAAATGTTAGACAAAAAAAAATCTGGTAAAAGCTTCACAGGCTTTCTTAAACGGCATTTTTTCCAGAGACTGAGAGAACCCCGTGTCGGCTTTTTCAAAGGCTGGAGGGGTTCAGTTTTAGCAATGTGCTGCCATGTCTTAGTACTTTAGAGTCAAGAGCCGACCATCCCATCCTGAAGCTAAACCTGAATTTTACATTTCACAACAAAGAAACGAATTTGTCTACAATTTTTTTTATAACAATACAAAAACTGGCAAACAAAAACATGTAACAACAAAATAACAATAAACAGAATATGTATTTTTCTATCTGCATTCAGTCTCTCTCGATTCGTTCCCTCGATCGTACTTGCATTCTGTAAAATATTCTCTTTTTTGGGGTAAGCAACGTGTCTTTTGTGAATGCAGAGCGAATGGGAGGGAGAGAGGCAAAATAAACAATAAAAAGAATGGGAGAAAGGAGAAGGAGGGTGAGGAGAGGAGAGAGGGAGGTGAGGAGAGGAGAGAGAGGGAGGGGAGGAGAGGAGAGGAGAGGGAGAAGGGAGAGGGAGAGAGGAGAGAGAGAGAGGAGAGGGGAGGAGAGGAGAGGAGAGGAGAGGAGAGAGAGAGAGGAGGAGAGAGAGGAGAGGAGAGGAGAGGAGAGAGGAGAGGAGAGGAGAGGAGAGAGAACCGATACACCATAGGCTCCGATACTCCTAATTCGTTATCCACCCTTAAGAAACCTACAGTTCGGCAAATACGAGAAGTTATTCAGATTACCCTTTCACTGCTAAAACCGTTAAAGACAATTAAAGAGTGTCAAATCTAAGTACTGTCGGAGCCCATGTGTGGCCACCGACTGCATAATGAGCCAATGCATCAACTCTGCCCTATTGATGCATCGAGTACGGGCGTCTGTTTCAAATGAGGTTTTAGATAGTTTTTCCCGCAATTGGTCCTACGCCTGGCAGCGAATTCCTCCTCTTTGGAAAGCAGGAACGTCGCGCGGTGATCTCAAGCGTCCCGAGATAAAATGCCTGTGAGCTACGAACGTAAATTAATCGAAACATTAACAAGGTATGTATTTCCATGGAGCTTTATTGTCCCATTTATTATATATGAAATTTAAATAATACACAATTGTAAAATAACAACAGAAAACAGAGAGGAAAACACAGAAGGAAGAAAGAGTAAATAAGCCGGGCCGGATGGGGAACCAGGCAGCTCCCCGCTCATCACCCGGCGCCAACCCTGCTCAGAACTGGCATCGGAGTAGGTACTTTTGCATTTCCTAGTCACTGTCCACGTGTACAAAATTATCATCTATAACAATCATAACTCTGCAATAACTTTTCTCTTACATATACTAGAGAAAATATGTATATCACTATTCTTTTTCTTCACAATTAAACCATAGAGGATGCTCCTTAACGTTCAAAAATAAAATGACACAAGACACTCTTAGCTTTCTTCTCTCTCTTCGAGGAAAGCCGGCCGGCCGCGCGGCAGCTCCTCCTCCGCCGCCCCTCACTGGGTCCTGCCGTGCTTGAACTCCATGTGCCTGACCAGGTTCCCGTTGCGGTTCGACTCGTACGGGCAGAGCGGGCACCGGTACGGCTTGAACCCCGTGTGGATCCGCAGGTGGCGCTGCAGGTTGTTCCGTTCCGTGAACATCCTTCCGCACAGCCTGCACTGGTGCCTGCCGTCTGCGGTGACCGCCTCGGCGCCAGCCAGACCGCCTATGCCTACCGCCGCCGCCGCCGCAACTACCGCCGTCCCTGCTGCTATATGTGCCCTGGCCACGTCCGCCTCGAGCCTCTGCAAACCAAAACGCAGTGCTCACTCTACACCCTCATCTACCTCGTCTGTTTGCTCCTGAGACCCTTCCTCCTCACTGCATGCACAGGCACAGTCTAACAGTAACATATGACTTCGTTCATTTTTTGCCTTTGTCTCTGCTTTGCTTTCTCGGGTCCACATAGCATGTCTGTAAGACATTGCTTCTTTCCACTATTTGGCATGACCCACGGCAACAATTCCCTCTGACCTAGCCATCATTTAGGGAACATCAGCAGCAGTAGTGCCGTGACCCTTCTCTGTCCAACGCAAAAGCACACCAACACCACCTTTCATCCTGCAGGGACCGCCGCCGCCGCCAGTCGCCCGTCCTCGCGGCCGCAGCCCCTACAGCGCCGCGGTGGACGAGCGCAGACTGGGCTCGGCGCCGTCGGCGGCTCCGTCGGACACCGAGGAGCTGTGGTGTCGCTTGACGTGGCGCTCCAGGTTGCTCCTGCGGTTGCAGGAGAAGGAGCAGTGGAGGCACGCGTGCGGCTTGACCCCCGTGTGGATCCACAGGTGGCGGCGGAGGGAGGCGCGGCAGGTGAAGTATCGGCCGCACGCCTGGCACAAGGGGGCGGCGTGGGCGGCCTGGCTATCATCGCCGCTGCTCACCCCTCCTGACCCCTGCAACGACACAGTGCTAAGTGCCCGTCTCCAACACAGCGGCGGCTGCACACAGCATCCACACAGCCTACTTGCTCTCCACTTAGTCACACAAGACCAGGGAAGGTCACATACACAACATAAAAATAAATTCAGAAAATGAAAATAAAATAAAACTGGCAGAGTTAAGCATCAGGTCAACAAGAGCCACAGGCCTAACTGGAAGCGAAATTCTCGTGCTTGGGGCCGAGGTCGGCCTGGTCGGCGGGGGCCCCCTGTGCGGCGGCCCGCCCGGGGTGCACCGACAAAATGTGGTACTTGAGGTTGCCCTTCTGGTTCGCGCGGTGCGGGCAATACGGGCACACGAAGGGCTTCTCGCCACGGTGGATCATGAGGTGCCGCTTGAGGTTGTACTTGGCATATCTGCCGTGAAAGGCCTTGCCGCAGAAGCGGCAGTGGACCGCGCCGCCGTCGTCCTGCGCCGAGGCGAGCAGGGCGGAGGGCGTGGCGGGGCGGGCCGGGTACGCCTGCAGCGCTTGGTGGGGCTGGGGTGGGAGCGCAAGGTGTTGGGCCGCCGGAGTCTGTAAAACAAGGCTCCCTTTTAGTCGAGCCGCCCAGGTCCGCGGTCACTCTGCTACCATGCTACTTAGCTTCCTCAAAACAACAGGCTAGCATACGGGAAACTACTACTTGGCAACACAAGTAAACAAGCCTACACCCTTTCCTCTCCCTTGATTACCTCGCCACTCGGCCTTCCTTCCAACTGCTCTCATCCACAGCCACACAGGTGATATATCATTCAAAGCCAAAAATCAGACAAAAACAAAGAGAACAAAAAGTCCTTAAAAAACTAACAGGCCCAGAAATCACAAGGATGCTTCATTGCCTCTAATCAACCACAAGATATCAATCACTGTGGCATCGACAGTTTCACAGCTAATTGACTAATCAAAAAATAATAACAAGTAAAAGCCCAAAATGCTCACTAAAAAAAGAACCACCGCTAAGATTCCCTTAAAAAACGAGAAATAAAAAAATCCCGTAGAATCTCCCACGAAGACGGCGCCCGATCGACCCCCGACCTCCCTCTATTTCCCCCTCGAGACCTCTCCCTCCAAGCCTTTCCCTCCTGACCTCCCCATCGCGCCCTCTCCCTCCAGATCTCTCCCTCGAGCCCGCCCTCCGCCTAGTCGGCCAGCTTGGCCCGGATCTGGTCCGCCTGTCCCTTGGGCTCGCCGTGCGCCGCGATCTGGACGTGGTGCGCCTTCAGGATGTGCGTCTTTAGGTTGCTCTTCTGGTTGGATCGGTGCGGACAGAAGGGGCAGTGAAAGGGCTTTTCCCCCCAGTGGATCATCAGGTGACGCTTCAGGTTGCGTCTCTGTCTCACGCCGTGGAACTCCTTCCCGCACAGGGGGCAGGAGAAGTCGCACGCATTCGCTCTGTGCGCAGGCTGCTGGTGGTATCCCTGCTGCTGCAGCTGTGCCGCGGTCTCCTGTGTGCGATACAGCAGAGCCGGCTGCATCTGCAACACACAAGGGCACCGGCATCAGTTTCTCATCCATCCACCTGTGCACTGTCGGCGCCCCCCCTCTCCACCCCCCGTCTCTCGCCCTTCCCAAAGAACTACCTCCCTCCAAGCATTCCTACCCCCGCCCCGCCCCGAAGCCCCAATCTCATTGCACCCGCTTTCCTCCCTCTCCCTGTCCTGCCCTGTCCTATCTTTCCCTTCCTCCCCTCCCTGCCCTGCCCTCCCCGGCCCTGCTCGGTATGGAGGTCCCTCATGGGTCTAATTTTCCTTTGCAGTGTCCGTGATTCTCCGTTCCCGTGACTGGATGTTTGTGGATATAGAGGGCAGAAACAACTGTCATTTAACTTCTAGGCATATCTAATGTTTCAGGAAGTTTTCGAAGAGGGTAAGAGATACCGAACACTTAGAGAGGCCAATAAAACGATATGTTTATGTCATGTTATGAAGTTTATTGAATAATAAAAACATTTGTACACATTTTCCATAATGAATCACTTCTTCACACTTCTTCAAAATGAGATATTCTTTATTTATACCGGTAATGTAGGAATACATTCAGTAGAAAAGAAAAGAAAAGGTGGTTGCTTCACCGTCCCAGAGAAATGCACCTTCGGCCCAGCGTCTACTCGCCTAAGGGAAAGGCGTGAAGGGCTGCGACGTCCCTTCGGCGGAGACCTCCTGTGCCTCCAAGCCCTGAGTCAGCGCGCCCGTGGGGTGGGCGCCGTGGGCGGCGTGCAGCCGCTCGCCCGCCTGCCCGTGCCTGCGCTCCAGGTGGCGCTTGAGGTGCGCCTTCTGGGTGGCCCTGTAGCTGCAATGGGGGCATGGGAAGGGCCGGGTACCCGTGTGCGTTAGCAGGTGGTGGGCCAGGTTCTGGCGGCGGTTGCGCCCCTGGAAGGCCTTCCCGCAAACTGGACACACCGCTGCGCCGCCCCCGCCGCCCACCGCCTGCAACGACAACACATCAACCCTCACACCCTTGGCACGCTCCGGGCATCAGCTGCCTCGGCCACCCTCCTACACTGCACACTTGTTTAACATCACTAAATCCAAGGCTAGAGATCAACAAAATACTTTGCATACTGAAATGGGATGATTCATCAAAAAAGGAATTTGAAGGTGTAAAGCCAATACTAAGTGTGAGTTCCTTGTAAGACTACTTGTCAGCTACAAACATGGCTCTTAACATTAAACTTTTCTAGGGCTAGTCACTGTAATGCTCTCAAAGACACGCTCATTGCAAGGGCGCAGGACGCTTGGCTCAGGGCTGCTGCGGCGAGGCCGAGTGCGCGAGCCGCGGCGCCGGGGGGAGGCTGGGCTGCAGGGGGGGCGTGGCGGCGCGCGGCGGCAGCGAGGGCGCACCGGGAGGCTGCGGGGGGCGGGCCGAGGGGGGGCCGTCGCGCCAGGAGGAGGAGGCCGCCGCCGCCCGGGGGGAATGGATGCGCTCGAGGTGCATCTGCAGGTGCGCCTTGCGCTTGGCGCGGTACGGGCAGTGCGGGCAGGGAAAGGGGGTCTCGCCCGTGTGGATGCGAATGTGCGTACTCAAGTTCTGGTGGCGGTTGCGGCCCCGGAACGCCCGGCCGCACACGCAGCACATCACCACCGCCACGGCAGCCGCCACCATACCGCCGCCCTGCAACACAACACCACTCAGCTCTACCTACTACAGCCCTGCCTCCTCCACAAGCACAAAGCCACTCCTCTAATGAAAAGAAATCAATACAAAATCATTAAGGTCCAACTAATGGCACAACTAAAATGGTCTTTTGAAAAATAAAAACGTTAAAAGTGCTCCTGTAAATGAGCCCAGGCATGTTTTAAACCAAGGTGATCTTTGCTTCCTCGAGACAGCTCGAGAGAGGACGGGAGAGGCGAGGCGCTGCACGTGCCGCCCACCCGCCCGTCCGCCCACGTGGTGCTCAGAGCGAGCTGGGCAGCGCGGCGCCCACGGCCTCGGGGTGCAAGCGCAATATGTGGCCCTTCATGTGCGGCTTCTGGCGGGCCGTGTAGGGGCAGTGGGGGCACGCAAAGGGTCGCTCCCCGGTATGGGTCAGCATGTGTTGTTGCAGGTTCTGGTGCCGATTGCGGCCGCGGAACGCCTTGCCGCATGCGGGACACGTGGCAATCCGCTCCGCCCCCCGCATCTGCAACGACACAACGCCGCCATCAGTGTCACCCTCTCACACACACACTCGGCTCCCCTCGGAGGCCGCACCCGCAGGCAGGGAAGCCGCCCGCGGCCGAGCGCCCTGCCGCTGCCCCAGACCTCTCTTTTGCTGCTGCTGGCATTATCAAGGGGATGACTCGAGGCCTTCGTGTGACTCAAGCGTTTAGAATTAGAACAACAGGTACATGTCAACGTCAACGCGCCTTCCCCTGAGACCCGATGAAACACCGAAGACCTCAAGTCGAGCCCCCAAGCCCTTCCCCCAAAGCAAATCCCATACACTGTCGCCATCGTGTGACAACGCTTAGGCCCAAAACAATAATAATAAAAAAGTAAATGAATGCTACCCGCCCTTCCCTCTTAACGCCTAAGCCCATTCAAAGGCACGGTTCACGCAATTAATTTCCTTGCCAGCTTGCATGAGCATTCCAGTATCCATGTACTAGCGTCTTTCTCTCTCTCTTTCAATTATCCGCGCCTGCATAATACCTTATTTTCATTTAGCTTTTGCCTTTACTTTGCGAAATATGTAAGTGTGCGACTGTGTAAATGAATACTATGAGAGAGAGAGAGAGAGAGAGAGAGAGAGAGAGAGAGAGAGAGAGAGAGAGAGAGAGAGAGAGAGAGAGAGAGAGAGAGAGAGAGAGTGTGTGTGTGTGTGTGTGTGTGTGTGTGTGTGTGTGTGTGTGTGTGTGTGTGTGTGTGTATACTGTGGACGAGTGTGCGCTCGTGCGTGGCATAGTGTAGGTGTAGGTGTGCTTTTGTGCGTGTACTAGTGCGTGTCTGTACGTGTACACATCCATCTATATGTCCGTGCCCGTGTACGCGAAAGTGTACGTGTTCATGTATATATGTGTGTATATGTATGTGTGTACATGTACGTATATGGTTGCATGAGTGCATATGTGTATGTGCGTGCGAGTGTGTGTGCACGTATATGTATATGTATATGTATATGTATATGTATATGTATATGCATGTGTGTGTAATGTGTGTGTGTGTGTGTGTGTGTGTGTGTGTGTGTGTGTATGTGTGTGTATGTGTGTGTGTGTATTGTGTGTGTATGTGCGTGTATGGTGTGTGTATGTGTGTGTTATGTG